CTATTATTATTTCTCAGAGTTCTGATAAATGCCCGTCAAACAGAATTGGTTGACAAATTTACTGGAATTTTATGATATATTGATTTTTAAATACATTTTCCGATTACTCATACTAGAAACTAATAATTTTTAGTCAATCCAAAATTTTTTGAAACAAAAATTGAACTTTTTCTTTGTTGTTCCTGTCTCTCTACATGCCTCATTTTGGTAATCTCTGCGCGTGAATTTATTTTGTGAACTTGTCTTTTAATCTTTTCTTTTTCAGCTAAAACTTCACTGAACATAAGAAATCATTTTCAATTTTTGTTTTTCTTGAAATTTTTGTTTTTTATATTTTTATTTTTGTGTTGGCAATGGAAATAAATTTCATCCCCAATACCAGTAAAATCTATTCCTTTAATTGATCATTTTCACGTAAAATAAAGCCAAACGGAGATTAAAAAAAAAACACTTTTATTTCAACATTTTCTACATGAAAAATTATCCCAATCAAACACAATAATTTACAATTCTTGAAAAAAAATTCTAGACAATTCAATTCCTTGAAATTCGTTTCAATTCAATTCAATTTCATCTTTACAATCAAACGGACCACAAGAGTTTGTGCCTTGGAATTCGAAGTCTATTTTCACTTTCGTATCAAACAGTCAAAGTAAAAAATGAATTTATTGGACATGATATTTTTCATGGAATTTAATGCTATTAAACTGATTCTAATAGTAATTTCATAAATCAATTATATTTGCTGTAGAAAATGGATGTGGCATAATTAATATTGCTTGGTTAAATGAATTCACAGTCTAAAATCAATAAAAATGCCTTTTTTGGGGAAAACAAATCTGGAGAGGTGACAGCCAAAGTTGAGCTTGTCAACAAACATTTATTTGGAGTTATGTTCAATTATCAATATCCATTTTCTTTTTGTTTTTTCTTTAGGGGAAACTTGTGGTAATGGTTTTTCTTTTATAGAACATCTTACATAATTATAGGTCCACTGATCAGATCAACTCTTTTAACAAAAATCGATTCGATACATTTCTTGTGACCTCATAGGTTTTATCTTTAATAATTATGGATCCATTGATCAGGAAAGCAGCTTTTATCATGTTCATCCCATTGTAAGAGTTCTTTCCTAACACATATATCAATTATGTCAGAGACGTCGAATTTTAATCAAGAAATTAGTATAAATTATCTGTATTAATTTACCATCTACAAATTACTGCCAACGATACATAGGAGGTTGATCTTTCTCAACATGTTATGTAGCACGAATCACCTTTTGATAGTTGATACAAGTAAAGCAATCCGGGAATCTAGGAATGAATTCAGTTACCTATCATATAAAAAGAAAAAAAATATTAAAGTTCTATCTGTTCTTTCACTCAATATATCTATTTGACTGGATACTGTACAGTATAATACGAGACAATGGAATGCAATGGGATAGATTGTAGAGGGGTGCCTATGTGCTTTTCAGTTGTATCTATCAGATGCCTCAATTGGTAAAAGATTATTTTTATAAATCCTTTAGGGGTATTTCGTAGTGTTAAAGTTCCATATAAGATTGACAAAACATTATATTAGGCTTTCTTCGAGGCTTATTTCAACTTCACTACTTGTCTTACTTGAGAGATTTTGTCGATGAAATATGGATACTATTGATAAAACTTGATTTGTTTACTTGTTTAGAAACAGAGGCTCCCAAGCCTTTAGTTCAAAAGGATCCCTTGACAGTGGTAAGATATTCATAATTCTTCTCATTTCAATTACTACAATATGATCATCTCTAAAAGCTCGGAGAATTTGAGTAGCCTGCTTATTAGGATTTAGAAGTTAATTCTCTCTTTTCGCCTATATCAAACCACCTCATCTAAAAGTTTAAGTTGTTAGGGAGGAGACATGTTCGTTCATTGAAATTTAGTCTTTAACGTGTATAAGGTATATTAAGATGTCAATTATGTTCCTCTGCCTACGTCAACATGCACTGATTGTATCACAAGTTAATAAAGTTTACATGGTAGAATTTCATTCGAACAGACCTTGCAAGTTGATAGATTTTCAATTGCCAAGTATGATGATGTCTTGTGAAATGCAAGTGACTGAGTCATTAGTCTATTTGTACTCTGTGTGTGTGTGTGTGTGAGAGAGAGAGATAGATAGAGATTTCCATACCAAATTGGTCCTTGCACCAAAAATGTCGATGTACTCATTTCACAATTTCTAATTCTATCTCGAGGGGTTCTAAGTTCAAGCCTTACACAGAAGGTTCAGATTAGAGTATCGCCTATTGCATTGTGCATCAGATTGAAAGGGAAGGACTGAATACACTTTTTGCATGTTCCTCTGTAGTTTCTGTTGTTTGAGATCAAGACTCTTTCAATGGAAAGAAAAACTGACTTTTACTGAAACAGAATAGAATGTTTCAGCATTATATTTGGTTTATTTGTTTTAACCTTGCTGAAAGAAACTTCTAGACACTGATTATTAAGTATGTATTGTTGGATATTGGTTAAATAAATCGAGAATTGAAAAATCGATTAAAGTTCGTATCGACTTCAGCCAAATACGCAAAAGCTCGATTCAATCCGTTTAAGCAAAATTATTTGCCACTTCGCCGCTTCGGGGCGCACAAACGGGGATCGACCTGACCGGTCAGGTCGCGGGGGTCGAGGGGGCAACGCCCCCGAAAGAGAATTTTGATTTCTCTGCATGTATTGAAGGGTATATTTGGCATTTCGAAAACCAATATCGGATGAATGAGAAATAAAGAAAAAAGACGAAAATCAGTGAATAGACACCTTTTCATAAAGGTGCATTGTTTGGAAAATGTGCATGGTTTGGCCTCAACCATTTCGTCCACACCCTTTCATGGTCTATAAATAGGACCATTTGGGTGTCCTATTCCACACAATTTGATATGCAAAACGTCTCTCATCCTCTCTTCAGTCCAAAATCAAAATCATTTCATTTATTTTGATTTTCTTTCATTTCATCCTTGGAGTACATAAGCCTAAATTTGGTTCGTTGTACTTGTGTTTTGGAGTGCTACAAACACAAGTGTAGCCGTTGTATCTTGGGAGTCGATTGCCGAAATCCGTAGGCACCGTTGCGGGGCAAATTCGACTTAAGGACAGAGTCCAACTCTTGTCTCGGTTTTGTCACCATCATTATACTTATTTCGACGTCACTATTCACAAAAATCATCCAACATGTATGATGGAACAGGGCACAAAAAAAAGCTTTCTGAGGTTTCATCATGGGAAAACAGTAAAAAAGCAGCTCTTGAAGCCAAACAAAAGCAAATAGAGGTAATTGAAACGCACATGGTGATTATTAGCAAAATATTTTGCAACAAAAATGCTTGCGGTCTTTGATCTTTAGTCATGAAAGAGTTTCTTTCTTTCGAATGGTTGTTGGCGTGTTTAGTAGTTGGTCTGTACTTCTACGAAGTCGACCAACGAAGAAAAATAAGTTGAAATCTCGTACATTCTCCCACGTCCACTGCTACATATAAATGGCAGGAACGTATGGAGAAGGAGAAAGCAGATTATAAATGAGAAGTAAGGTCGCTCTCGTTCACAAGCAAGCAGAAGAGAGGAGACCTATGGTTGAAGCTAGACGAGGCGAAGAAATTTTCAAAGCAGATGAGATGTCTGCAAAATTCTGTGCAAATGGGCATGCTCTGGCGAAGGTTTGTGGGTGCATTGGAGGTTAAGCTTCTCTCGTTTGGCAATTGTGTGAATTTTGTTGTGTAGTTTTGGCGTGTTTAACATATTCAAAATATGACTAGTTTTCATTTCCTTGTGTGATCTTGTACAGTAACTGTACTTTTTCCTTGCGAGAAAACAAATACATTTGTTTATAACTTGTGCTGAGAAGTTCTCATCTCTCAAAATTTAGGATTAAGCCAAACGATCACATTGTTTGACACAGCACTCACAGTCGAGACGTGGGTCCCGCACGAATAAAATAATGCCAACATCCCATATGAGTGTGTTGTGTCAAACTTTGTGGTCGTGTAGCATGATCCCAAAATTTAAGCCAGTAGAGAAATGAGAAATTTATTTATAATGTAGATATTCAAGAGTAGAAAAAATTGCTCTTCCCATGGTCATTGTGGAGTACTTGCTCAACCGTGTTAACCTAAATCAGTCACTACATGCAAAACCTAGTACATTTAAGTAAGAGTAAATCCTTTTTACTCGAGTTTTGTGTAGACTCTCTTCATTCCCAACAAAAAATAATGGGCTTGAATAAAGTAGAAGCGATATCGACCCAAACTGTACTTCACTCAAGTCCTCTCTTATATGATGGACTTTTGATTCAATTTGAGTCTTCAGCTGTACGTCCTTAGCCCATCATTGCATCATTTCATTTTTATTGCCCAAATATACCCAATGTATATGTATTTTTTACTTGATCCTTGCCTACCCAAGCATGCCCGATGTTATTTTATTCAATTAGTAATTTTACATTTACCGATAAAAAATAATAATAATAATAATAAAAAAGGTGTACACATCGTAGAGGAACTTATCCATATATTTGACGTTATGATAGTTTAAAATATTTTCTAGTTTTACCTTTAACTCTTTCTAAAAAATGTTATTTTAGTGAACTAGTAAATTTATCAACCTTGGCTTCCACTTTTGTGTTGAAATTTGAAACTGTAAATGCTTATCTGCAGCACTTTTTAAAAATAAATAAATAAATAAAATATAATATAATATAATAAAAATTGTTATTATCATTTTTGCAAGGCATTTTAACACCAAATTTGTTCAATATTGGACCTACCTTTCGTGGTCCGATGTAAACTGAACCAGTCGAGTTGGAAAAAAGAAACATAGCTGATACTCGTATAGGCTACTCTATTGGGGTTGACTTTGATACCATTTTGACATCCTAATAAATCTTTCTACATAGTACCATCCTAAAAAAACCTTTTTACCAGGAACAAGTTTCATTTCTGTTTGAAAAGAGAATTCGCTGAATAAATTGAATCACTCTTTATGCTGAACCACCACATGTTCAAATTCACAAACAAGTAAACACAAGAACAAGGCAATCCTCGTACCAGATCACAATATACACACAGCATACGACTCCATAAAAACAGCCTAGTATTGCATAAAAAAAGTCAATTTTATCGATCCCCACATGGTACCAATCATGTTCTCGGTGGCAGAATCCCATTTGATCACAGAAACATCCTAAAAAATGCTCAACATTGCAGCCACATTTTCCCTCGGAAGTATGAGGAGGATATTTTGATGTATGATGTGGTGTGGGGGTAGAATTACAAGGTAATAACAGAAGATGAGTCCAAGAAGATTTTGCATTCAACATACGGAAAGTGCAAATCAACCTAGCCCCATTATAAATAAGAACGACGAATTGCTGACAGAACCAAAAGCAATGGAAAATTGAACCAAACATTTTATCCTGAACATGCATACGATATTGAATTCTTTATTATAAAAAGGACAAAGAAATATGCCTGGAACTCTGGAATCGTCAGCCTCATAAGTCAAAATACAAATCTTCAACGACCAAAGGCACAATTTAATACAGCACCTGACTCTTGATCATGTACTTCGAACAGCAGCTAAACATTTCTGTACAAGAAGAAATCACCGAAGGCATAAGATACAAGGGTTAAATATTTGCAAGATTTCAAAATTATATTGAAATAATAATTTCAACTAGTATACAAATGCCAGCAACTAAAATACCAGATATTTTCGAAACAATGAGAGGAGAATACAATCAAACATGGAGTACATGTTTGGTTTGCAGTTGTACAATAAACACGATTTTAGTTTATTTTTCTACTAAACAAGCCATTAATTGTTCTCTTCTAGCAACAAAAGAAATTCCAGAGGTATTATGATGGTTTTCTCGGAACTTCAGGTAAGAATGACACGCTAAAGTTTACGTCATTAGTAAATGAAGTCTAGCGAGAACTTGAGAAACATGTGCCTATTTCATCAAAATCATAGTTATATACAGATTATCACACAAAAATCATCCAAAAGAAAGCATTTGTTTAACTATATGATTCACGCAGCATCACAGCTTTGCAGTAACTGCATGTACTTCATTGCAACTTGTACCAAATGGTCTATTAATAAACTACACCACTATTTGGTGGGGATTAAAATCAGATATTTAGTAAATTTTGATAAAAGTTGATAAAATGTGTGGTTAAAAATTTATGGATCCCATAAAATTTGTCGTTAAAATTAGTTGTTGATTTTGACTTAAATGAAAATCTAGCTTTTAAATTCTACTAAACAGGGGATATATTAAAGATCCACACGATTCAGCTATTTTTAAGCTTTTCTTAAAAGTCCAGAACTGGTTTTTAAGTCTTCAAAGATAATGCATCAGCCAAATGGTAAAATCGTTTTCTAGAGGTACTCTTCAAGTTCTGTCCCTGATTCCCTCTCAGTCCAGGATCCAACAGTCTGAACAAGAAATAATCGAGCAGTCCACTTATATTTCAACCCCCCCCCCCCCGCGGCCCTTTTTTTCAGTCAGTAGGATTAAACTTTATCATGCCAGTATATATTTGCTGAAACATTATGAGAACTTCCCAAAACCATGTTAAAAACAATGTATTACCACTGAAGCTAGCAAACAATTACATGTTGATTGATGTTGGTGATAAAGCAAAAGAAATCAACCAGAGTTGAATGCAGCAGAAAGACTGAGAAGCATCCAAAGTGCCTCAAATGTCCCGACAAGCATTTCCCTCAGAATGCAATACTAGACAATGTTTAAAAAGGAAAAAGTGGGTATCAAGGTGTTATACCTCAATGAAAGGGTGCTTACCTCAAGAAAGAATAATAAATAATTCAAAAGAATAACAAGAAAACAAAATTATGCTCATTGATATCCATAATGGAACTAATTACAGAAATTAAAAGTTTAACTTGCAAAAGAACATAAAATAGATCGATATAAATAAAAATAATAAGTTCTCAATTTATAATCACTTTATAAGTGATTACCATTAATTAGAGACAACCCAGAAATTTCTTGTATTGTCATACTAAACGATCTCGGAGGAAATCAGTGACATCACCATCCTTGTCACTAGAAGTTTCTTCTTATTCTTTGCTATCATCCTCCACTTGCAAGAATTTACTGTCCTTCCTCTCTTTGAACCCATAAACATGTTAGGTTATGAAGAAATAATTGAATGTCTGGACAATGCAAGATATATAGGCGAACACTATAGTAGCTTTCAGCACTAAGCCTCGCAAAATGACATTTAAGGTATGGATTTCAAAACGTTTTCTGGAAGCCTCCGTGAAACAGTATTTGAAGCATAAGCCTCAAGTATCATTTTTCAACAATGACTAGATTACCCTTCTTCCATGATACCATTTCGCACAAGTTTGTGGGACATTTAAAAAAAAAAATTCTAAATAATAAACAGTTAGGAACGAGGAATTCATAATTCAGTGAAAAAGTTTTACTCAACTAAACCAAGGATGTAATTTAAAGTAATTAATAACATAGATGAACTTGCACAGTAAAATTAAAAAGGAAAACTTATATTGCATGACTTCTAATATGAGTGCATCTCTGATTTGCTGAAAAACTGAACATGCATGCTAATAAATAGATATGCATATTCGATATGACTCACCACTACCTTTTTGACCAGGGAGAGGAATTCTTACGACAGATTAACGACAGTATATAGCCTGATCTATATGTGGAGGGATCTGTTTGATCTCTGTCCCAAGTTCTTGTTCAATCCTATACCTGAAAGATTCGAGTAGGAAAATCATATAATAATCTCCAAAAATGAAGTAATATTGTATCACTGAAAAATAGAATAACAGCATACAAATTGAAACGGTCTTCATAGGTTATCAGATTCACAGCTAACCCAAGATGTCCAAACCTTCCAGATCGTCCAACCTACACATGACAGTATAGTCCATGAAAAAATAGCACAGCAGTCATGACTAGTACACTGGCATAAAATTTAACATACCCTGTGTAAATATGTCTCAGAGTTCTTAGGAAAATCAAAATTGATTACGACATTGACTGCTTGGATATCTATACCTCTTGTAAATAGATCTGCAATTAGATTGCAAGAGGAAGATAAAACAATTATTGCAATAACGTAAGGAGAATACCGTTTAACTAGAAAAACAATTTCATTAGATGAGGCTAGAATCAAAATGCAGGTAAAGGCATGTCCCTTCTTTCTCCTCCCATCTGAATTAGTGGTGAGGAGTGAGGACAAATGTTGCTGCCGAAGGATGCAAACAAACAATTATTAGGAAAAGGGGGAAAGGGAAAGGGAAAGGGAAAGGGAAAGGGGAGGGAGGAAAAGGGGGAAACAGGAGGGAGATAAAAATTGGAGAGACAGGAGAGATATTAGGGGAGAAAGTATTAGGCCCCCTTTTGGTACCCATTTTTGTAAGAATATGAATGAAAAATATAGTCGTTATGGGACCCACATAAGAGATAGAAAGTCAAATATGGTGGTTTGATGCGATGAATAACAGTCATATTTTTCATTTTTGCGGTTAAAGAAAGCGAATCAAACAGGCTTTAATTTATTTCACTATCAAAGTAGTTGTTTATTACAAATACAAAGCATAAGATCCCTTTATATTGGGCTTCAAGGTACTATTCTAAGTAGGAAATACCTAACAATGTTTTGAATACCAGACCAGACCGACCGGTTCAACCGGGGTAACCATAAACCGGTCTCAAATCCAATCCAGTCATTATCAGTTAACCGGAAAATAGGAAACTAGTAAATACATCCGTGAACCTGCAGGTTAAATCAGAAACCAGAAACCGATTACGGGTTTTTAACCAATTCTAGAAAATGTCTTCATTAAAAATCCTTCAAACTCCTCCTTTTTTTTTAGCCCAACAGGAGCAGGCCCAGTTCACCTTTCAACCCCTCCCATCACTATTGCTGTTTATAAAAGAAAATTCCCATGAAGTTGATTGTTGATCAACCGATGTGGGATAATTGATCAGTGACTAAAGGACAGCTTTTAAAGTATAATCTCATCATACACATATTTTGACAATCCGATGTGGGATGGGCCTTAGGACAACTGAAAATTGAAATGCTTAAATGTTAATTATTTATTGTATTCTACATTAACATGAATTTAAATCATTAATTGGTGCTTTTGTCTATATATATTAAGTTAAAAAATTAACTTAATTTTGTCAATTTCGTGGATATAATTTATTAATTTATTACCAATGGTTCGACCTCAATTCGACCCTTTGACCCTTGACTCTTTCTCTTTTCCGGGTCGATTTTCAAAACATTGATACCTAATAACATTTATTGAATCAAACTTTAATTATTTTTCCTAAAATACGCATCAAATTGAAAACTGGATTATATAATCTCTCTTCTAATATTCCAAAAGTCGCATCCCCCATTCAACCGCAAGAATACAAAATTTACAAAAAATATAGAATTTGATTTGAAATGAATGCTTCACAAGGACAGTGGAAAACGTACACCACCACGAGTGCAACTGCAAGCCAGTGATAAAATAATTACTTACGTGGAAAGGAAAAAAAAAATGAAAAAAAGAAATTACATATTTAAAAATATACAACATTGTTAGTCGAGTTGCAGTTAACCGTAATTGGATTATTTTAGAAATAGCAGCAAAAGAAACCAAGAACTCTTAAGTCTTCATTGGAATCATGCAGTTAAGACTAGGGACAATAACATTAAGAAAGAAAAATGGTATTCTCTCTATCTATTTAGGCCCATTTTTGTTACAAGGAAATAATCAAGAAAGCCTTGCATTGAAAGCCAAAAGGAGGGTGGCAAAGTCACTTTATCTAATGCTTCAAAAATAGCATGCACCTAAGAAACTTTTCAACTATTGACCCTCTATATACACTTGCGGTTATATTAAAAGTATTCAAGATTAACTTGTCTATTTACTCATACTATCATGCACTAATTGTGCACAATCATTTCCCCACCCAATCCAATTGTTGCAAGCAAAGCACAATAGATCTAAGGGACTAATAAGTCTACAGTTTGGAATACATTTTTATGAACCAATATTGTTATGAGCCACAGGCATAATCAAACAACTTGAGCATTGCATACTCATCTGAGAACAAAATTGTAGATGTAAAAGCTCAGTCATCGCAAGAAGATGGAGATCATACCCGTGCAAACAAGATTCCTACAGGCACCATTGCGGAAGTCGTGAAAAACTTTGTTACGATGATCTTGAAGCATCTTAGCATGGATATAGAAACAAGAATAGCCTAGCTCTGTTATTTTCTTGGCAAGAAGTTCTACTCGATTCACGGAATTGCAGAAAATAATAGATTGGTTTATTTGAAGCTGCAGACAGAAAATTTTACATGTATATAATCCCCAAAACAGAATTTTCATGGGAAAAAAGATGCATCATCCACAATAGAAAGTCATGCTCAATCAAGAGTTCTAACCTTTGAAAAGAGAGTATTGAGGCAGTGGACTTTCTGTCTTTCTTCAACAAATGCATAATACTGTGTTATACCTTTGAGAGTTAACTCATCCATAAGGTTGATGACATAAGGCTTCTGTAGGTATCTATCTTTGAAATCTTTCACAGTGACAGGAAATGTGGCAGAGAACATTAAGATCTGACGGTTTGCAGGCAGAAAACCAATTAACTGCTCAATGGAAGGTTGGAACTCTGGTGACAAAAGCTTATCAGCCTGAAAGACATTGGTAGAAACAGGGTGAGTTTACCCATCAATAATCACCTTTTTCATAGAACTAACTAAACAGAACAGGATTATAGTACGATCAAATGTCTATAATCTCCTAATCGGTTTGGAATGCCATGACCGTACAAAAGCTAATTCAACCTTGGACATAAAAACAAATCAATGGCTAGAGACTTGCACTTTGAAGAAAGAAACTGTGACCATACAGACTAGTTCTCCAAATCCCACAGTATCCCTTTTCTCTTCAAAGTTCTAAATAAATATCTCAAATCAAAATTCAGATAGCATTAACATCTACTGCTGCTATCATTTCTACAGCAAAGTAGAAATCCTTAACAGAGTAGCGCATCACAAACAATTCAAGAAAATCACATCACAAACAATTCACGAAAAATCATTACCATATTTCCAAAGAAATACTTCCAGGCTCCCAGTCCAAGGAGAAAAGTTAGTTTTTTTAAAAAAAATTTATTTTTATTTTTATTTTGGGGTGGGGCATGGGCTGGGGTGTTGGGTTCTGAAGAAATGAAAACTAGGGAGTCTTCCTAAAGGAATACCAGCCTCCCCAATTCCAATACTAACAAAAGAACAATATCATTTCACATTTAAGTTGCTTGACTCATCCACAAAAAAGAAAGGTAACTGCAAAAAATAAGGATATACCAAACCATCTCATTACCTCATCCATCACAAGCATAGAGCAATGTTTCAAAATGCAAACACCCTTTTTTGCAAGATCAATGATTCTCCCAGGAGTTCCAACGAGTAAGTGAACTGGTTGATACAAACGCATTATGTCATCTCTTAAGCTAGTTCCACCTGTTGTAACCATAACTTGAATTTTTAGATGCTTCCCAAGCTCTTTACAAACTTGCGATGTCTGAAGGGCTAATTCTCGCGTTGGGACAAGAATAACAACTGCAACAGTGCAAATTGGTGAGATGCCATACAAGAACAGAATAATTTAAAGCAAAGATATAACAGAAGCAGAAAAATGAGAAAATGTCAAACTACGCAAAATAATTGCTAGCTGGTCAAATTCTTCATCAAAACATTTCGTAGGACACAACATTTTATCTACTCTTTTACTACACATTCCTTGGAGCCCACTACTTATAAGCACTTAAAAGCTTAGCCAAGCCCGCAAAGCGTAACAAACAAAAAGACAAAGCAATCTTGTAATTTCTGCATCTCCTATCCCAAATAAACATCGTCACTGGTTTCTATTAGAATGAGTCTAACTTGGGAAAAAGTAATGGCAGCTACCATTCATCTCAAACTCGATTTTGAGCTCTCAAAAAGCAATAGGTCTAGCTCAGTTGGCTAAAATAAAAGCTCTCACTCTCACAATAAAAAAAAAAAAAAAGGATCAACTTGCACCCTTTCTTGAATTTGAATCACTTCCTCTTCCCTGAATAAGTCAAATTTCTACAAGGTAGGGTGTAGAGATGACATATTCACAAGCAATATCAAATAAATAAGATTAAAACCTTGAATAACATTGTTGTCTTGATCAATTTTCTCCAGGGCAGGAATACAAAAGGCAGCAGTTTTCCCTGTTCCATTTTTTGCTCGAGCCAAGATATCGCTTCCAGTGAGAGCAATTGGAATGCTCTCCTCTTGAATTGGAGAAGGTCTCTCAAATCCCTTCTCATATATTCCCATAAGCAGCTCGCGCTTCAGAAAATAGTCTTCAAATTCATTTCCTTTAGTAGCTGTTACATCCTGCAAGGAGAATCATTTATTAAGGCTAAAGCCTAAATATACAAACAAATGATAGTCTAAAAATTGTGGAAGGGCTGCTTGTATTTCTCAAAATCTCAGAAGTTGATGCAAATAAATTTACAGCCACAAGAAATAAACAATTGGCAACTATAAAACACATATTGGAACCCGATTAATCTTCTTCATTGAGATCCAATGAACTATATTCTGCAAACAATTTAGCTAACAAATTAACTGTACAGACAATTTAGTCATACATGCAAGCAGGATCTATGTGTCTTAGACAAAATGCTGCACGTGGATAGCCAGGTGTCATAAATGTCTAGACAGAATTCTCTATCTTATTCTCAGCATGACATCTGCAATTTACACATCCATTAACCAGACACGGAAGACTGCAAACGAAAGTTTAACAAGGTGACAGAAGTTACAAAGAAAATTGATGAACAAGGTGAAGCAAATCCGGATCCAGAGTGTTCATACCTGTCCACATCCAAAATGCATCGGACACAGCCAAGCAGTACTGGAGATTAATTATGAGACAGAAATGTCTATGGAAGGAAATTCTACTATTTAGATTACAACATGAAAACAGCTTTGATTTCAGAAGGCTGAAAAATAATGAAATGTTTATAGGGGGAACTTGCGATGGAGGTTCCAAATTGATCAAAAAAGTGCCGTGAGGTTCCAAACCTACCAATCTTTGCACCGCAATCCAAAACCTTTTAATAAATGTGCGGTGTAAGGACCTTTGAACGCATTCCATCCAAATATCTGTCTGCCGACCAAAAACTCAAAGGTTCGCCTTCATTTGACCATTTGTTAGACCATTTGTTACATTTTAAGAAGGGCCAACTGGTCTCCACGTTTTCCACTTAAAACAACTAAAATGTTTTTTCCCAAAAAATAAAATAAAATAAAATAATTAAAAGGAACAGAAGGTGTAATAATACTGATGATGATGACGACAACGATGATGATGATAATACAACAAAAAACTTCATCTCCCTCAACCCACCCCCTTCTCAACCACCACGACCCCCAACCACCCTTAATCCAGTTGTGGCCACCAACATCTTCACCACGAAATCAAATCTGCAATTAAATCCCAAAACCCAATTATCCCCTGCACTTTTCTCCTCAATTTTCATACAAATCAATGCCCCAACATCAACTTATGGTCCGAAAATCCGCTATCCAATATTCCCCTCCTGAATCTGACATGGTCACTTCATTACCACAATTCAAACACCAAAACAACAGTCTCACATTTCTATCGCACTGGGAATGGTGTCAAAATGAAACCAAACAAGCACCACCAATTAAAATACAATTAAACGAAATACATTTAATGTATATATAGCAGCAACAGCAAATAAATTTATTAGAAGGGATGAGAAATTTAGCATCTAGAATCTATTTCCTGTCATTTCATCAGTGGCATTATTTGGAAATTTGAATGATATATTCTCTTCTTTTGATAGATTTTATGATTGGGGATGAACAAGATTCAGATTTTGAATGAGCGCTCAGGAGTGTGTTTAGGGGGTGTGAAGGCTGCTGGAGTTGGTGGTGGTGAAATGTGGCCGTTAAAGATATGGTTGCCATTGGTTTATTGTGGTGGTTGGGGTTGCCGGTAGCCACTGTTGAATCATGGGGTGGCAATGTGGGTTGTCAGGTTTTGGTACGACCTTGCTCTGCACATTTATTAAAAAGGTTTGGGATAGCAGTGCCAAGATTGGAAGGTTCGGGACTCTGCAGCACTTCTTTGAAAGGTTTGCAAACCTCTCTTGCAAATTTCCCTAAAAAGAATGAGAGGTGGACTAAACTAAGCATGACACAAGACGACTGCAAAGTATTAGATTTCATTAGATCAATATAGAAAGCTTTGGATTCAAAAGAATGGTAATAAGGCATTCACAAAACAAAATCGAGTTTGTAGAGTATTAGACTTGGTTTCTTCTTGTTTAACCTACACAAGCTCCTCTAACTTACCAAGTATTTTTTTTCTCTTATAAAAGCTATCAAATTCAAAAATTATTAAACCACTACACTGATGATTATTTATCTACCACCATGGCCATGTTTAACTCTTAGCTTGAGTTGTCCATATAATAAATTAAATAATGGCGTGTGTTGAGTTATGAAAGAGCATGCTGACCACTAAATTTAGAACGAAATTACGTTCAACCATCCACAGTAAAAGATAATGGGGTTTGAAACTCGGTTAAGACCCCTGATTTAAACCTAATGTGTTGTGTTAATGTAATCAGCACATAAATTGAAGAACGGATTAAATACAAAAAATTTGTATGAATCAAGAATGCAGCACGTAAAAATGAATCAGAATATAGAGCATGTAAAGATATGAAACAGCGGTAAAAAGAGTACAACTAAGGCAGTGATAGGTTTGCTTAGTCTTTGTAATTATGATTTTCAACTAAGCGATTGTATATGAGAAGAAACAATGTTTAAAACCCCACCTGGGCATTGAACTGAAAAAGTTAAAAGGCCAGGATTCAAAGGGTCAAAATTTTCACTGGGCCCGAACTGGAGTCAGTCCAGATGTCAAAAAAGATAGAAAATATGTATAAAAATACATACAATAGAAACTATAAGAGATAATTAAATTTTCATGAACTAATACAAAATTATAAATTCAAATTTATTAATTCAATTTACAAACAAGACAGTGAAAATTTACTTCACTGAGGGTAGTGGCCAGGGCACTTTGGTTAGCCTGACGTCCGAAGATCACAAAAGGGATTAGAGAAGAAACACCTTTAAAAGGACAACATTTTGAATCTTTAGATTTTTTACCTCTGTTCTGTCTAATTTGTCATGAAGAGATTCACAAAACATCATTACTTGGAGAAAAACAAATGAATTCAACTGACTAAGATAACAGCTCCATACTGCATGAAAGGAAATAACTGCAAGAATTAAAAAGTGAAAACATTTTTGAAGTACCGCAAATCAGACAGGACACTTTTCCTCAATATGGAAACATCCACAAAATCAAAACTAGCCAAATAAAGACTAATCGCACATTAGATATTGCAGCTCAAAAATTCCAGAAGAGCTTCCTTCATAATATGAAACCAAGTAATAACAAGCATTAAAATGGAAAACTTTTTTGGACTATCGTATGGCAGACAGGATAATTCTCGTCGATTTTTGGAACCATATTCAATATTCCAGATCAAAAATTCCAGAAGAGTTTCCTTGATAATCTGTACATAACCCTAGCTCTGGAAAGAAAAACAATTTCTTTGGTACTGACCTTGAATCAATAGCTTCCGAATGCATGGCCCTTTGGACCTCGTTGCCTACTCTGTCGGCAGGAGCCGGAAGCTGAGTCCTTGGAAGCAACTGCTGTGGCTGAGGGTTCCGAAATGCCTGATTATTCGGCGCTGGATTTCTCTGCACGTACTGCTGCGTAGGATTTCTTGGCTGAAACCCATAGTTTGGTCCAGTATTCATGTTCATTCCCCCACCTCGGCCGCCTCCCATCCCCGGCGGCGGATACCTCGCTCTCGAGCTCATTGCTAAATCCTAAACCAACAGAAAATGTGAATTCTACGTAAACACAAAACCAAAATCTGATGAGAATTGGGGTTAGGGTTTATGAAAAAATGTAGGCCTAAATAGAAGGAAATTGTTAAGGTTAATTAGAAATGGGAGCGAAGAATTTTTTAAAATTATAGAAAACGGAAGCGTTGAGAAGGTGAACGATCAACTGGAGATGGTGTAACCGTTCTAGGGCTTGGATGAAAGATTGAACCGGCGCGACATTATTATTATTATTATTATTATTATTATTATTATGATATATATATATATATATATCTGATGAGAATTGGGGTTAGGGTTTATGAAAAAATGTAGGCCTAAATAGAAGGAACTTGTTAAGGTTAATTAGAAATGGGAGCGAAGAATTTTTTAAAATTATAGAAAACGGAAGCGTTGAGAAGGTGAACGATCAACTGGAGATGGTGTAACCGTTCTAGGGCTTGGATGAAAGATTGAACCGGCGCGACATTTTTTTTTTTTTTTTTTTTTTTTTTTATAACAGGAAGGAAGCGGATCTATTGGACTCGTTACAATATCGTTTTTTATTTTTTCAATAAAAAAACATTTTTAAAATTGCTATATGATTACCATAAACTGAGGAAATACATGGAAATGGTCGCTGGTCATGGCCTTTGATCATTAAAAAATAATTCAAATTAAAATAGATATATAAATTACCATCTACTAATTTTGTCCTTGTTTTCAATCAAAGAAAGAGATGTGAAAAAAGGGAAAAAGGAAAATTTCACACAATCAGTTGTAATAGTCGGATCCGGTTGAGAGTTATCATTCCTACAGTCTATCCAATGTCGACAATCATAAAATTTTTAATTATTATCTTCAACAAGGTTAGTTTTTTGTGGATTTAAGAGAATGATTTTTCATTTTGTATACATTTTGAATTTGTGATTTAAATTGTCATGTATAACGTTTATTCTTCATTATTTCTCTCCATTTCCGACGACAAAACAAACTATGCTCACCGACTATTTAACAATCAGCTCAATCGACTATTTAATAGTCGGCTACAGTCGTCTTGGGTCGATTGTCGGGCCATTTTTTTAAATGAGTCAACTGTTCGTCCATTTTTTTTCCTTTTTTCTTTTTTTCCCCTTTTTTCCATTTTTTTTCCTTTTTCTCATTTATTTTTTCATTTTTCCTCGTTCTTTTTTCCTTCTTTTTTTAAATCTTTTCGTTTTATGATAAAAAGCAATTTTTTTCGATTTTCATTAAATAATATTTATTTTTAATTAAATTTTCAATTTTAATAAAAATACTTTATAATAACTTTTTTGTCTATAATCCATTTATTTGTTATTAGCGTTAGTGTAAAATGAATTTACGTTACAATTCGGTTCGTTTAATTTTATGAGACTATGCTCGATTCGATTGTCTCTTACTCAATGTTCTAATATTTGAATTTTTTGCAGGATGGAATACTTTTTAGATTCATAGTTGAGACAGATGCTGGGGAAAGATACTTGGAACAGTAACTTCGATAGTTCCACTACTATATTGGAGTTGTTGGATAATCAGCACACAAATATTCTATACCAGTCCTTCATCTGGCCCCTATGTCAGTTGAGGGAGATGCAATACTTCGAGCAGATCATCGATGCACTACTACATTAGCTGCTTAGGATGGAATACCATCTAGACATGGAGTTGAGATAACTGTCGGAGAAAGCTACATGGAATAGTAACTTTATCAGTTTCACCACAATATTGAAGCTGTTGGATGATTAGCACACGAATATTCTATACCAGACCTTGCTCTAGCCCCTTTATCAGTTGAGGAAAGTGTAATGCTCCGGGTAGATCGTCGATGCATTGTTATGTCGGCTGCTCATGGCAATCAACAGCGATACCTTCTACTTTGACCTTGGAGACCAGGTCGCTACTTTCTCCTTGATTGAGTTTACCCTAATAAATGGACTAAAGCTTATGGGCGATGATGCAATTCATGACGATACTCAGAGAAGTAATAGGCTGTACGACACTTATTTTCAGGAATAAGAGACGATGCTTCTAACTTAACTTATTGGCGCAATCAAGAAGTGTGACCAAATGTTAGATAGACTAAAGTAAAGACTGGTATATATCCTTTAGAGCGTGGTGCTGTGTCATTACAATAAGACTGCGATCGACCTCTTACATCCGGAGATCGTCAACGATATCGATGCCTTCAACAATTATCCATGGGGCTAAAGATATTTTGAGGACACCGTACACATCTTCACCATATCATACTTAAAACTAAGGGGTCCGTGTTTAAGTACGACACTTATCGATTTTTCCTGGCAATGCATGCAAATGTTTAACATAACTAAGGCCTTGTTTGATTCTTAGTCTTTCCAAAATACTCTCTTCTTTCAATCACACATTATTCATTAAAATAATATTACAAATAAATTAAAAAAATCTTATTTTTTAACCACATTTTCCATCAATCTGTTATTCTAAAATGCATATTAACATAAAAATGGGGCCTCTAAGATCAAAATATTCTTATACTAAATTTATACATAATTATTATATATGATGCAGACAGTGGCGGAGCCAGCACCTGGCAAGGTGGCACAGCCACTCGTGCTAGCTCCACTAAAATTCATTGTTGTTACCGGAGCTAAAGAAGAAGCCCGAAGATTGAAGTTCAGGCGGCGCTCATGGAGATGGAAGAATTCGGAAGAAGATGACAAGTAAGTAAGTGATTGATTCTGGGCCTTTTTTTTTATTGGGGCTCCTTTTCCTTTTTTTATTTAAAAAAGTTGGCCCAAAACATTAGATGCAATTTAATAGCTATATATCGTTTAATTGTTTAATTCAAATGCAAAATGAGAGAACAAATTGCAATTCTAAACCCTACCTCACTCCCTTCCTTCTGTACTCGTGCGACCTGCCGTTGGTTCGCTGAGTTGTCGTCGAGCCTTTTCGGTCTCCTACACTGACCCCACTGCATCTTCATTGTTCTCTCCATGAGTCTCAATCATCTGCATTGTTCATCAATATTTCACGATAATAGAGTTAATCTACTTGTGCTTATAAAAGGTTTTTATGTTTTAGCACCGAAGATGTTTTGTTGTACATGTGTGTATGCTTTATTGAAATTTTTTTGTTGTTGTATTGTTGTTTTTGTGTTCGCACGAATTATAATTATTGAATGAGACTTTAAAGTTTAAATGATTTGAGCCTTTTGGGCTAAATTTTGAGTCTTCTTTGTAGTCTTGTGCAATTGCTAATTTCTTTTCAAATTATGGTGGTAGGCTAATAGGTAATGATGAATTATGTGATTGAACAGGCTCTTATGTCTGTATGAAGATTCCATTTTTATCTGATGACATCTTCTTAAGCTTGGTGAATAATTCAATGATTAGAGCTGTTTGGAGCAGAAAAAATGATTTAAATGTTAACTAGTGGTTTCTTGTTATATGCTTTTCATAAACCAAAATGCACTTAGCTTAGTCGTACTTTGTATTATGCTTCTTTGTACATTGTTCATGGAAGAAAGATGGCCAAGTTTGTCTTTTGGACACTACGTAGAAGCACCTAGAAATTGCATCTAGTGCCCCTTTTCTTTAGTTGAATGAAAAGTATAAAATGACGGTCGATGGTCGACGATCGCCCTAGCTAGTCAAGAATCTTGGATCCGTCACTAGTTACAAATCTAGGTATATGAGACTGTTCCCCTCTTGGGTACCCAGTTTGCGATGTGAGGAGAGATGTGCTGCCCTCGATGCATCATTGGCGAGCATTTCGAGCGAACGGATATCCATATCTGTCAAATGGTTATCAACTCTCCTTGATAACCCTCATATAAGTATTATACATTTGTGATTTTTCATGCGTATGTTGTATGGTTATATATATAAATTTATTGCTTAAATTGTCCTTATGTAAACATGATATTTGATGATTATTTTTTTATGTCATAAATTCTTCTCGTGACATATTCATAATGTCAATGCATTCATAAGTATACATGAAGTTTCAAGAAATAAAAAATTTCCCAAGTTTCAATAAGTTAAGGACTGGTTTAAAAAGATATATATTTCATATATTTTTATTACAAGGTGTATGCTCATCCCTGTGTAACTGGAAAATGTGGCGTGAAGGACCGACATACCCGACCAATGTTCAATGATAACATTAATATTAACCGCTTTGCGGTACTACTGGTAGGACGAATAGGGTTCCAAATAAAATGGGATTATATATTGAGAATTTTTTTTTATTTTAAAGTAATTCAAATGAATATCAAAAGTGTGCATCATGTACATGAAGTTTGTTTACTGAGAGTTAGCTCATTCCACGTTATCCCTCCTCATTTTTATATGATGGAGGCAAGATGATTTGACCTGACGATTTGTGATGACATAGATTCAATATTATAAAATTTAAATATTGAATTCATTTTGTAAATAAAGTTAACATTCAATTTAACTATCTTATATTTTTATTAAGCACAAACTTATTTTAAAATACTAAGTCATTGATATTTATTACGTTGAAGAGAAAAAATCGTTTTTTTTTAACATTTATGATGTTAGGAGAAAATGAAATGATAATACTTTCAGATCTGGGTATGTAGATTTGGGATCGTCACACCTACGCTAGAAAAGGTCAGGATCCTAAATAATCCCCAGTCAGCAACTACTCCAATTGCATTTAATAGTAATGGTGAGCAGGGAATCATATATCCTCTGCGTGATACGTTGGTTATATGGGTTGTAATATCTCATAACGGCCTAAATCACATCCCTTTTAGGTAACAGTAGCTCTGCAAATATTTTGTTTGAAAGTTTTTTTTCCTAAATGCGAGTAGATTACCATTGGATGTCAATGATTGAACCTATATGGCAATACTAGAGATAGTCTAATCCCAAGGGAACAGATTATGATGTCAATATAGATTGATGAAGAACCAACTGTATTCAACGGGTATATGGACTTCTTAATTATGGATAGTAGGTTCG